CATGGTGACCAGTGGATGGATTCTAGGCCAAGGGCTTCCCCGATTTCCTGACTCTGCCTGAGAACCAGTGCATTCGGCCCCTGGCCCTATAAATCCCATTTTGACTCCCCGTAAAATATACACAAAGGGCTCTGGGGCCAATGACCTTTCCTTTTGCTTTCCGCAGATAGATCTGAAGGAGCAGGGACAACTCCTGCACCGGGACCCTTTCACAGTCATCTGTGGCCGGAAAAAGTGCCTTCGCCACGTCTTTCTCTTTGAGCATCTCCTCCTGTTCAGCAAGCTCAAGGGCCCTGAGGGGGGGTCAGAGACCTTTGTTTATAAGCAGGCCTTTAAGGTACGATGCCTGGCGGTGGGGTGGGGCTGGGAAACCATGGGGATGGGACAGGAAGTCATGCTCTTCTTGGGAACGCAGGGTGTTCTGGAAATTCAATCCCAACCCAGGCTCAGAATCTATATCATCTAGAACAGGCTTTGGCCTGTAATCAAACATCAGGTTAGGGTGTCGAGGTGACAGAAGTCCCTGTCATTGGTCTCCTCCATGGGGTTCTCCTTATTCATGCAGGGGATTCATGAGGCATTCCAAACCAGAAGCGGGGAGGACCTTTCCCATTAAGAACACACATGCTTTCTGAGTTAGGGATGGTCCCTGGGGGAGGAAGAGAAAGGACACTATAAATATAGCTTAACTTGACGGAACTGAGGAACCCAAGAGGAGGGAGGCCTTGCTTTAGGGAAACAGCCTTGATATCCAGATAAACATCAATAGCGGCCTCGTCCCAGATCAGGCGCTGTGGCATGACTCTTAAGAGTTTCTGACTCTGTCCCCCTACACTAGTTCCAGCAGAGCCCAGTATAGAGAAAAAAGCCTACGTTTGGAATAACATAGCCATGAGTTTGAACTCTTTCTCCGATAAGCTATGATAAGCCCTTGGACAAGTTGCTTTGTGTGTCTGGGCACCACCCTTCTGTAAATCGTGCTTGTTATAAAGACTAAATGCAGAGCACTTGGCGCACCGTAGGTGTTGAGCAAACATTTACTAAGCATCCACCAGATGCCAGGCTAAGTGTAGTGCTTTTCCACGTGGTACCATCTAGCCAGAATGCACTCCGTCTTCACCCACTCTCCTCCACTTTTTCTCAGACTGCTGACATGGGGCTAACAGAAAACATCGGGGACAGTGGGCTCTGCTTTGAGCTGTGGTTTCGGCGGCGGCGTGCACGAGAGGCGTACACTCTGCAAGCAGCCTCACCAGAGATCAAACTCAAGTGGACGAGTTCTATTGCCCAGCTGCTGTGGAGACAGGCGGCCCACAACAAGGGTACCAGGCAGAGCTGGGAGAGGGTGTGCTTGGGATCAAGGTTATGGCAGGTTAGCTGGAGAGTGTGGGGAGTGCCCAGGGGAAAGAGGGTGTAGGATGGAGAATGACGTATGAGAAGATTGAAGATCTGACGTGAGAGAGATTGCTGAGACAGAACTTAATCTAAGGTGCACTAAAAGGAAAGAGGAAGCTAGCAGATTTCAGGGAGGCAAGCGCAAACGGTTGGGCAAAAGAGAGTGAGAGGGTGCTCACCGGACCTGCCTTCCAGAACTTGATTGCTGTGTTACCAAGACTAGTTTGTTTGTTTTGTTTTGGGGGGTCTTTTGCTAGTTTTTGTTTTTAATTCTCTGAACCTCATTCCACTAATCTGAAAAATGGAAAGTAACATCTACATCTTGGTATGATAGGAAGGATTAAATAAGGTGATATATATGGAAGCACTTGATAAACTGTAAAGGTATGTAAAAACATGAGTTTTGCTCTTAACGCCCAAGATAAAGGGAAGAAGGTATTAGAAGAGAAGTTGGGGGCTTCCCTGGTGGCGCAGAGGTTGAGAGTCCGCCTGCCGATGCAGGGGACACGGGTTCGTGCCCCGGTCCAGGAAGATCCCACATGCCGCGGAGTGGCTGGGCCCGTGAGCCATGGCCGCTAAGCCTGCGTGTCCGGAGCCTGTGCTCCGCAACGGGAGAGGCCACAACAGGGAGACGCACCAAAAAAAAAAAAAAAAAAAAAAAAAAAAAAAGAAGTTGGGAAGCCTGAATGACAAATGGGCAGGATGCAACATATAGGAGAGAAGAGACAGAAGTCTGAGGGGGAAGTCGAGGACACGATCACCATCCATGTCATAACAGTCAACAGGAAGAGTAACGAGACACCAGAGGAATGAGAGGGAGGAATGAGAGTTGGGAAGGAGCAAAGAAGTTGGTAACAGGGTCTCTGTTCCCTAGAGCTCCGAGTGCAGCAGATGGTCTCCATGGGCATTGGGAATAAACCCTTCCTGGACATCAAAGCCCTTGGGGAGCGGACGCTGAGTGCCCTGCTCACTGGAAGAGGTGAGGGCCACAGTGCTGGGGGTGGGGGGTGGCCTCCAGCAGTCAAGACCTTGAGAGTGAAAGCACAGTGAGGAGGCATGGTGGAAAATGAGGAAAGGTCATGAGTGGATATGTCTTCCCAGAAACTGTGGGAGTGACTGGGAGGCCCTCTATGAGCTCAGGGTCATTTCAGGGAGCCAGGAGGGCTTTCCCACACCAGCACCCCACCCCTCCACCCCCCGCTCTCTGCAGCCGCCCGCACCCGGGCCTCGGTGGCCGTGTCATCTTTTGAGCATGCCGGCCCCTCCCTTCCCGGTCTTTCCCCGGGAGCCTGTTCCCTGCCTGCCCGCGTCGAGGAGGAGGCCTGGGATCTGGACGTCAAGCAAATTTCCCTGGGTGAGGCACCTCTCAAGGGGTGGCTCCCAACAGCTGGGTCATCATGGTGATGTTCAGGCTGCTTGCTGCTGAGCAATTCCTTTCTCTAGCCAAGGGGCCCAGCTGCCATGACAACTATGTACAGCTTCCCCATTGCTAAAAGAGCCTTCCATCTGGTTGCTAGGGTAATGCTTACAGCAGCCTGTTGCTAAGAAGCACTTCCTCTGTACCTCTCTCTCTCTAGCTCTCCTTGGGTTTCTATGGAAACTGCTTCAGCTTCCTGTTGTACCCTCCTGGTTCACCACGGCAATCCTTATAGTTTCCTGTCGCTTCCTCTCTGGTTGCTCTAATGATGCTGCTGAGAGTTTCCTGCCTCTTGGTAGGGGGGTTCTCTTGCAACTGGATTGCTATGGTGACTTACAGCTTCCTGTTGCTCTGGAGCTTTTTCTTCCCTGATGGAGCAGCTTGGTTACTTAAGGTAATCTAGAGGGGTTCTATACCCTGCTCTCACCCTAGCTTCCCCTCCAGCCCCAGAAACATTTGCCTCTTCTGGAGATGTGTCCCCAGGACCAAGAAACAGTCCCAGCCTGCAACGCCCACACCCTGGGAGCAGCACTCCCATCCTGGCCAGTGGAGGGATCTTAGGGCTTTCCCGACAGGTAAGTCCTTGCAATAGGGCTGAGAATGGGGTAGTCTCTTCGGACACTTTCTGGGTGGGCTCTTCTGATCATTCAACCCATGAGGGGCAGGGGGACCAGTGAGCCTGTGCTCCCAGCAAGGCTACAGGTTGGAGGGATGTATTGTCCAGTCTGCCCTTCTCCTCTTCCCCAGGCCTGGCTGAGAGGGCTCAAGGTCAGAAGTGAATCTTTAATAAGGAGTGGAGAGCAGGAGTGATAGAAAGGGGAGAATTCCAACAGCCTAGACTTGGATTAAATCAGCAAAATTCAGGAACGCTGGGGAGGAAAGAGGGGTGAACTAATTGACAGGCTTAGGAGAGAGAGAAAGGTTATATAACCTCTCATATTATAAGAGGTCATTTCTTATCCTTTAAATTCACTGCAGTTTCTCTTCCCTCAGAGTCATGCCCGAGCCCTGAGTGACCCCACCACACCTCTGTGACTGGTGAGTTGGTACCCGCTTTCTACCACATCCTACAGCCTTCCCTCTTCCCTTCCCCAGCGGCTTGGGAGTCAGCTTCTTCTCTCTCCCAACCCATCTTCCCTTTTCCTTCCTGGCTTCTAGAGAAGATCCGGAATTTGGCTACAGCCCCTCCTCTCAGCACGCTTTGGGCTGGGATGCTGGGGGGACATAGTGGAGGACTGGAAGAGCATTGAATTCCTTCCCTCTGCTTCTTGGACAGAAAGGAGGTCAAAGGACCAGTGTGTTTCCCTGCTACTGCTGTCTCTAGCTCTCCCCAGCCAGGTGCCTTCCTGCAGGAACCAGAGTGTCCACACTTGCTTGCCTTCATACCCTGGAGGTGGGGAAATTATCCCTCGTCCAGTCCTTCCCCATCCGGGGCCACTGCATACTCCCAAGACACCGCTCCATGTCAGCCCTTCCCCGACAGCCTGTGTTCGCCCCTTCGTCCTGCCCCCTGCCCCTCCTTGAGAAGACTCATCTCTGCCAGTTCCTGGTGACTCCATTCTGGGGTGTCATAGGAAACGGAGCTATGCAAACCATTATAGAAGGGTGGGCTAGGGAACTGCAAACTTTATATATGTAATAACTATTATTTTAATACTATTGTTATATTAAATATATTTACTCACACTTTGTCTCCGAAGAGCTAGAGCAGACCTCAGGGTTGAGGTGATACCACTAACTTGAGCACTTCCGCTCACCCAACCATTAACTAGAACACAGAAAATAAAACCAAGGCTGCAAGGTACCCTGTACCCCTTACTGGGCCAAAGCTGGGCCCATGCCTGGGTGAATATGCACCCTCCCAGAGGAGTGGCCCCCAGAGGCTCAATGCACCCTTTGAAGTTCCTGCTCTCATGCTGTACCCACTTCTTGAGGCTGAGCTGGTCACAGTCAAGGTGGGGTCCAGCACCATTCAGCAGTTCTCAAAATGAGGTCCTCAGAGGTCCACAGTACATAAGAATCCCCTAGGCTACTTGTTAAATGCTAGTTCCTGGGCCCCACCCCTGAGCTACTTAAGCCAAAGCCTGAAGGTAAAGCCCAAGTTTCTTACCAAGGTCTTTGGGTGATAAAAAGTGCCTGAAGAGATGACTATTTTCTGGACACAGTGGCCCAAGGAGGACAGGACATAGGCAGGCAGACACAGTGCCCTGTGCCTCAAGACACCTGTTTATTGGGGACACAACTCTGCAACAGGGATGACAGAAATCGTACCAAAAATAGCAACGTCTACAGGGCCCCTGGAGGGGCTAGAAGGGTACAGTGCCCCCACCCCCACCCATTGTACAAAAATAAACTCTCACGCCTATGGACCAGCAAAGACTGGCAAAGCTGCCCCTCACCAGGAACACTCCTGCCAGCCCTGGGACCCCGTTCTTTGATCCTCACCCCTGCCACTTCTAAGGCACTGTGACTCTCTCTTGGGCTGGGTGGGTATCGCCCACCCACCCTCCTAACGCCCTCTGCCCCCTCCACCTCTGGTCTGCCCGGGGCTGGGATATGGGTCCCACGCTGCCCCCTGCTGGCTGCTCTACCCAACTACCTCTAGCGCAGCCCCGCTCCTGCGGGGTAAACTCACTAAGCTAATAGCCCGTAAGAGGGCTCCCTACCTTTCTTGTCCCCCCAGCCCAGGCTCTCCTGAACGCAACAGCCCGGGGCCCTCCTCCCCTTCCTGCGGAGGACTGGGAGGGGTCTCTCCGGACGGTGCTCGGGCATAGGGCGGGGATGCATCGGCCTGGGGCGGCCTTCGGCCCCGAGCCCTGCGGCTGTGGTGCACTTGCAGGTGCAAGGCCATGAGCTCGGGGGCTCCAGTGGCGAAGGGACAGAAGAGGCATCGGTGGAGGGCACCCCCCGGCCCAGCCTCGCCTCCCGGCCCTGCCCGCAGGGACAGGTCGAGGGGTTCGGCCTCACCGCCTCGCCCGTTGCGCAGGGTCCTCCCGGGGCTGGCGGGCTTCCGACGGGACCCCGACGCGGCGCCGCTCGAGGGAGGCCGGGAGCTCGCTGTGCCCTCCACCCAGGTCGCAGGCTGCGCAGCCGGTTTGGCTCCCGACGACTGGGTTGCACCCCGCTGGGAAGGGGGTGGCGGCTCTGGAGGAGGCCCGGGGCCTGCCCCGCTCTTCTGCTCCCGGTGGTGGCGCTGCAGGTGATACTTGAGCGACCCGGACTGGGTGCCCGCGTAGTCGCAGTGCGGACACTTGTAGGGGCGCTCTCCTGGAGGGCGGGGGGTGCGATAGGGCCCGAGTCACAATCACCGCCAGCCCTAACCCGCAATTCACTCCGCGTACAGACCTCCGGGCCAGGAAGAAAACCGCGCCTCTCCCACCCCTCTCGTTTAATTAAGAGGCGTTTCCTAACGATCTCATCTAGACAATCCGAAGGCTGCCGAATGTCATCTCCCGGCGTTTCCCATAGCCCTCTCACCCCCCTTCCTGCCCTCCAGTCCCCTCCCCACCCCGGAGGCTGCCCCCCTCACCTGTGTGCACTCGCAGGTGCACTTTGAGGTGATGCGCTGAGCGGAATGATTTTCCACAAAAGGGGCAGTCCTTGCCGCTGGCCCCCCGGCCCCCTTCAGGCCGGGCCCCTCCAACTAAGAGCCCATTCTCTTCTGCAATACACACATTAAAAGAAGTCAGAGGGACCATTTGCCCTAACCCTATTAGGGCCATGTGTCCCCATACCCACCCACAGGATTGCTTCCCCTCCCAGCCCGGAAGGAAACAGAATGTTTGCAGGAACCTAAGAGGTCTGATTTGCTGTGAGTGGACATGTACCCTCAAAAGGTTGTAAAGCCTCCAGGGTAGGAAAATTGAGAAATAAGAAAATTCTTAAAAATAAGAAATAAGAAACTGCTCTCCTGTCCCCTCCTTTTTAAAAAGGAGGGGACAGGAGGGCAGTGGTGGCGTCAGAGTGCGCCCAGGATGCCGAAATCCTCAGAGAAAGGAGACCCTTACGTACCCTGCGTGGCGCTGGACCTCGCCGGGGCCCCCGCAGCAGTCGCAGAGTTCCCTGGGCCCTCGCCTGGGCGTGGGGGCAGTGAAGCCAGAGGGCCCACCGCCCTGCTCCGGGCCCAGGTCTCTTCCTCTGCCTCCACCACCTCCTCTTCCTCGTCTGGCTCCTCCGCGCGGTGCCGGCGAGCCCGGCCTGGGAGAGCAGAGGGCAGTGGGCGGAAGCCTCCAAAGCTGCGGCCAGCCCCAGGCTCAGCGCCCTCACCATTGGGCCGGGCCTCGCCGGCTCGCAGACTCAGGTATCCCAGGAGGCTCGGAGGCTCACGGCGCTCAGCCGGGGTGGGCGCCGGGGCCAAGAGGAGCGCGGGGCCCAGAGGCTCATAGGCCAGCAGGCCCAGATCAGGAGGCTGGGGGGCCCGGGCAGGCCCAGAACCAGGCCCCGGGGCACGCAGTGGGCCCAGCTTGCTGGCGTGCACCTTCATGTGGTTCTTAAGGAACCAGGGCTCCTTGAAGCAGCGGCCACAAACAGGACATGCATGATCGAAGGAGGCCTTATGCTTGCGCATGTGGCCCTTGAGAAACCAGGACTGCGTAAAGCTCTGGCCACACACTTGACAGCGGAACTCCGGAGGCGCGGGGGGCTCCTCGGGAGCAGCAGGCGCGGAGACGGGGGTTGCCTCACGTTCAGGCTCCGGCTCGGGCTCAGGGACGGATCTGGGTTCAGGCTGGGGTGGAGGCTGAGGCTGGGGTGCAGCCGAGGTTGCCGCCAGGGGGCGCTCAGGAGCTCCGTGGGCCGTCAGGCTGTGGTGCAGCAGCTCCTCCTCCTGGCTGGAGCCGAAACTGCACAGGCCGCACTTCCAGGGCCTGTGCAGAATGTGCAGGTGGCGTTCGCGCTCCGCCGCGGTGCGAAACTTGCCTTTGCAGAAGGGGCAACGGAAGGCGGACGACGAAGGAGCCTGGGACCGCGCCAGGCCCTCAGTGGCCGGGGTGGCCTGCAGGCCCCCTGAGCTCCGGGGTCTCCCCAGCCGCGCTTCCCGCAGTAGCGCGCGCTCCTCCAACTCCAGCAACAGGCGCGCGGCGGGGCTTCGCGGGCGCTCAGGCTGGTGCGTGCGCAGGTGCGAGCGCAGCAGGGCCCGCTGCGCAGCACGGTGGCCGCAGTGCGGGCACTGGAAGGCCTGGGCGCCTGGGTGCGCCCGTAGGTGCAAAGCCAGGATAGAGTTGAAGCGGAAGCGCTTCCCGCATACAGGGCAGGGGAAGCGCCGTTCGCCTGTGCGACTCTCAGACCAGCCCACTGCTCCCATCCCCGGAGACCCGGCGCTTACGCCTGGCCCGTTGGAGTAGCGCTGCAGATCCAGTTCGCCGTCGAAGGCCGGTGGCGACGGCGCTAGGTGGCCGCCCGGGGCGCGGGGACGTGAGCCCTGTGGAGAAAGATGTGAGTAGAGCAAAAGGTGGAGAAGGGAGAGCTATGGGGAAAGCAAGGGCATGGAGAGCCAGAGGAACCCGAGGGAGGGTGGGTCAGGGCCTGAACCATGAACACCGGGTGCCCCTCCCACTCACCTTGGGGAGGCTGGGGGATGAATGGGAATTGAGCTGTTAGGACCACGAAAACAACTTCTGATAATGGGAGGCCAGACAGAGAGAGAAGGAGAGGTAGGGAGGGGAGGAAGTATAGTTGCAGGTACTCATAGGTTCAGGCCAGAGCTTCACTCACCTCCATGGACCCCCTTCACATTCTTTGGTTCTGAGGAGTGCAGGGAAGAGGAGGAGGAAAAGCTGCTAGTGAAGGCAACAGGTGCTGAAGAGCTAAAGCAAGAGAGACAGATTTGGAGGAAGAGGTGAGCCCTGATTTTCAGCAGTGGGAAGAGTCACCCCAAACTCCAGACTCTTAGCACTCTGAAACCTATCCCTTCTCCATCCTTCCATCCTGAGACAGGAGGGGGCTGCTGTCTTCAAAACTTGTACTTCGTTATTTGTCCACAAGTCTCCCTGATAACCCAGATTTCTTCCCCCAAATTATTCATATTAAATGCCTTGTCCAGAACAACCACTACCACCACCAAGTCGCCCCCCCCAACTTCCTCTCCACCCTCGTGGTGGAGAAGACCATCACAGTATACCCTTCTCTCATTTAGGTTGGGCTGTGCAGCTTGAAGAGCAAATGGGGTGGGCTTGCCATGCTCCCCAGTTATCCAAGTGGGACCAGTTGCTCTCAGACCGCTAACTGACCAGCCAGCCAACCATTCTTCCAGGCTCCATAGTTCTTCCTTCTGCCTTTACCCTGTCTTTCTGTCTTTCCCCCTCTTTCTTCCTCCCTCCGCCTGGATTCCTGATCCATTCATTTCCATTCATTACAGAGACTCATTCATGCATGGGAGAGAAACACCTCCCAGCAGCAGAGAGTCTGGAGACAGACAGAGGGGGAGGGGCATGAAGGGGGAGAGAGCCAGAGGGAGAGGGAATGGAGAGTTGGGGGAGGAGTGGAAGTTAAGGGGCGCTGCTGGCTTTGGGAAGGGGTTAAAAACTGCAAATACCGGATAGGATTCATCCCCTTGTTTCAAACCTTGGAGCCTGCAGTTTGATGGGGCATCTCAGCCCCTTTGTCCAGGGCTGTTCCAAAGCAGGCTTTCCTCCTCTCTGCAGGGGAGAGGCTCCCTCACACAAGAGGAGGATTACACAGGCTCTGAGCTCAAGAGGCTGGAGTGAGGGATGGGGGGCGGGGCTGGGCCATCTGCACAGATAGGGGCTCAGCACATACTCTGAGCTGGAAAGGGTTAAAGTTCTCCAGGCTAAAATTCTCTGGGCCTGGGATGTACAGAGCTCCAGTTCTGAGGATGAAGAGCAGTGAGAGGAAGAGGACTTGGTGGCCAGTGGGGGCGGGGGGGCAGAATCTCCTGATTCTAAGCTGCAGAGGAGGTTAGCATTAGGACTTAGAAGCAACCCCAGAATTAAGATTCATGGAAATAGGCCTAGGAGAATGGACCAGAAATCATCCAGTCTATCTTTCTTACTTATATACAGAATTGTATCTGGTCAAGGCTAGACAAATGTGGGCCTAACCTTTTTTTTTTTTTTTAATTGCCTGAGACAAAGAATATTTGAGATATAAAGAACTTCCTTACAATAGGCATTGTGAAACTGAAATCGGTTACTGAGAAAGAAAAGGACTCAGCATTACTTTGCTTAAGGATCTTTAATAGAAGAGAACTGAGCCAGGAGTCAGCCCTGCAACGAGAAAAGGCTCTGGAGATCCAAGGCTTCTTTAATTTTTGACATTTAGTAGATAGGATAAGACTCTATGAAGGGGCAGGTACCTGTTACATTTGGAATCTGCATTATGGGAATTTTATTAAGAGATTAATTAACAAAATGTCTTTGTCCAAGGATCAGTAAACAACCTCCAGCACCACTTTTAATATCTGTATTTCTGTAGCTCCAAATTAAGGCATCCACCCTCACTTTCTGGATCCTCCAAATAAGCCCCTTTACTGAGACCAAGAGCCTAGCCAAGTTCGCTGAGTAGTATAATGAAAGGTGAATTAGAGTACGACTGAGGGGTGCAAGACTACTGTGGGCCCAGTCAGACCATTAATAGCCCCTGCAATCCTCAGTAAATCACTTAACCTCCTGGTTTACTCATCTGTAAAATAAGAGGGTTGGACTAATTTATACTGATGGTCCCTTCCAGTTCAAAAGTTTTGTGGTTCTGAGTCACAGGACTCTTCTGGACCCCAGAGAGATGCTGAAACAAATGGTCATTCCTTCAGTACCATGGAGAGTGCAGTGGGCTACCAGAGGAGCCACTTTGGCCACCTCCGTACCATAGAGCAATGAAGTACTAGAGGGGCCACATTTGCCATTTTAGCACCACAGATAAGGCACTGAGAAAAGCCAGAGGATTTGTAAAAATTCCTATCTGGAAACCATAGAGGGGGGAAAAAAATAGTGGTACCAGAGGGATTATTTTGGCCTTTTGGATGTCACTGAAAATAGACAGATATAATAGAAAATAGATGTAACTAGAAGAATTTTAATTAGCTATAAGGAGTGTTCTGACAGTTACAGTTTGTACATCCTGGAATGAGTTACTGAGGCATCGTATTTGGGTCCATCACATTCTGTTGCTCTCCTGGGGATTCCCGGAACATCCTGGTGTACAGCCAATCTGGTATATTCAGAGGAAGCAGATGGTGGGGGAGGAGGGGGGAGGCTGGGAATACTGCATGGTCATAGCTGACTAACCTATGGGCACATACTCTGATTCTGAGAAGATTCTAGGGCCCCTAAAACTGCCTATGGGATAGTAAACAAAATACCTCACGGGAGGCTGACCTCATACCCAAGGCAAGTAGAGTAGGAATTGGGCAAAAGCTTCCTCCCCCAAAACAAAACAAAAACAAAAAACCTGCTTTGCACATAGCAGTTTCCAGGATGGAAATCCAGTGATATACAAGAAGGCCCAAATTGAAGCTGAATTCCCAAGAAGTGAAAGTTTCCCCAGAGGGTGGCCTCAAATCAACAAAACCACTGAGACCCTCCTAGGCCCAGTCAAGATCTCCTGAATCATCTCCTCACCAAATGGGGTCCCAAGAACCTGATCCCATGAGTTTTTCTCAATAGGAGAAAACACTGACAGAGCCCCAGATTTTATGAACTGACTTAGGACCTAGATTATGCATGTATTGCCTGTGGGCAATAGTCAGAGTTTTCTATAGTCAGGCCAACTTCTATAGTCAGGCCTAAACACCATCCATGAGACTTAGCCAGACAGTAGCACTGACCTACTTTCTACCCCCACTGGAAATCAAGGGTTATCTTACCCTTATTTGGGTTCTATAGGGATGCAGGGCCAGGGATAGGGATCCAAAATCTTTCAAAAGCAACAGGCCAATTCCTTTTATGTGCTAGGAGAGCTGGTGTGGACCATCAAACCTTACTGAGTAGGGAAGGATGGAAGGGTTGGTGAGAAGACTCTTAGAAACAACTGGGACAAGTACATAGAAGCATCTGCTGACTGGAGGACCATGAAGATTGTCCCTCAAGCTTTGTGGTTCAAAAGTTTTTAGGGTCAAAGTGTAAGGGGCAAGTGTTCAGGACTTGAAGTATATTTGTGACTAGGTCTCCGCCTCTGGTCATTTCTAATATTGTACTTGATGTTTTTCCCTCTGAGAATCCTTACACCTTCCAAGTCCCCTAACAATCGATTAACGCTGCACTAGGTGGAGTTAAAAGGAAAGGGAACTCCTTAGGTGGTCTAGAGTCAAGACCACCTTTATCACACAAACATGCCAGTAGTTCACCTTTATGGTCTCCTCTCCATGGCCCTCTGAACCTCATTGCTCAGGTGGCTCCCCCAAACTGACCCCACAGCATAGCTTGCCCACCTTTTAGATTGAGTTCTTGGGAAAGACTCCTTCCCTCCATCCTCACTGCCCTGAGCTGGGGTTACAGACCTCAGTCATGGGTTTCAAATGTACAGCATGAGGTGAGAGGAAGGTACACCTGCTCACCTACTGCCACCCCACCATGGAGAATCTTATCCCAGGGGCATGTCCCAACTTGACCCCTCTTCTGAAAGTTCTGGAACACCTGGATTTGGGGGAGGGGGCATGTAGCCAGCCCTAAGCCCCTTTAGCTGGAGCTGACCCTAGAAAGGTCAGAGTCTTGGCACCCATATGAACCTCAGTTCTCAGATTAGGGGGTGGGGAGTGGGTAGGAGAGCCTCTGGGAAAATCTCCCTCCCAGAAGTAGATTGGCAAGTAGGGCAAGACATTTCATCCTGTGCAAGAGGTTCTTCCAGCAGCACCCCAGACCCCTCCCGGGGAAGATAAACCAGAAGGATGATGGGGGGACAGGGTTGGGAGACTGGGAGGCCAGGGCTCAGCTACCCGGGCCGGGAGAACAAAAGCTGAGTTGCAGCCGCCTCCGCCGCTGCCGCCGGCCGAGCTCTTTGTGACACTTTGTTTGGGACGCAGAGAGGGAAGCACCCCCATCCTCTCCCCTCCCCCACCCCCCGCTCCCAGAGAGTTTGGGTCCCTTCCCCCTCCTCCATCAGCCCTACCTGGGCCGGGGGGCACTCATCCACTCTGGTTCCCAGCTCTGCCGCCCCGCACCCCCAGGCCCCTCGCGCCCTGCCTTCGGGCCCCTACAAAGACGCCCGCCCCCCCCCGCCCCCGCTGGCCTTTCCCCTTTGGTGTCCGCTTTCCCGGCTCCCCCACCTGCCCCCCCTCCCTCGAGGCCCCCCTAGCTCTCCAGGCTTCCGTGGCCGCCGCCCCCACCCCGCCCCCCCCAGGAGCTCTGGGCGAAGTTTGCTTGGGGCCGAGCCGGCGCCCCTCCCCCGCCCCCGCCCCCTGCACCTGCTCCGAGCCGGGAGCGCGTAACGGCCCCCCCCTCCGGGAGGGGGGGGCGGGGGCCGGGGGCGGGGGCCGGGTGGCGGAGGGGGGGCCGGGAGTGGGGGGAGCGGCTACTCACGAGCCCCGGGCGGGCGGCGGCGGAGCGGGCGGCGGCGGCGGCGGCGGCGGGCGGCGGGCCGGCGGCGCGGGCGTCAGCGTTACGTGGGGCCGGGGGAGATGCGCCGGGCCCCGGCCCCCCCGCCCCCGGCCCGGCCCCCGCCCCCTCCCCGGTCCCCCGCCCCCGGCCCTGGCCCGCATTGTGTGCGGCGGGAGGCGGCCCGGCCATTAGCATGCGGGGGGCGGCGCGGCGGGGCTGGGAGCCGCGCGGGAGCGAGAGCGGGAGCGGGGCTCTGGCTCCGGGGACAGGGAGCTGGGGACCCCGGGAGCAGCGAGAGGCGGCCGCCAGGGGCGGGGTGCGGGCCGTTTGGAGACTGGGGGCGCTGTCGGAGGGAAGGAGGGAGGGAGCGGGGGTGGGGCGCACGGATGATTCCAACAGGAGACTGGAAGAGATTTGAAAGGTCATCTCGTCCTTCCCCCAGCCTCCAAGCGGACTGCCCCTCCCACCCTAAACCCGGACATACCAGGGAAGGAGCTGGCTCTGCCGCTCTTTCTGCCCCAACATGCACAGACTCGGGAAGTTCTTCCTGGGGTTTTATCTCAAAGCCTCTCCCTTACAATTTCTGTCTCTCTTTTGGGGGAGGAGGAGGGGCGATTATAGAGATAGTTAATGTCTGCCGTATAAGAAACATTGTTAAAGTTACTCTCCGGTCCTTTCTCTTCTTGATAAACAATTCCTACCCCTTCCTCTCGAATTCTATTTTTTCATTCCTTAAGTCACTTTAATGGCTCTTCAATACAACAAATATTTACTGAGTGTTTACTAAGTACCAGGCACCAATGCTCAGCGCCGTGGGGGATGTACACATGAGGGGAATGTAGTACCCTCTCTGGAGGAGATTGTAATCCAGACAGGGATACTTGTAAGTAGGATACTTAGATTTAATCAATATTTACCGAATGCCTGTTCACATATTTAATAGTATGTAATCTTTCTAATAACACTGTGAAATATAATTGGTCTGCATTTACAGGTAAGGGAAATGAGGCTAAAAGAGTCGCTTTCCACTGGCCTACCAGCTCAGGGATACTCAGCCCAACATCTCACATTCTATCAGGCCATTGCCACAAAATAAAATTAATGTACGTAAGGATCGAGGAGAGGGTAGATACACAACAGCTCTCAGGGTCCCTTTAAATGTGATTTCCGCTCCCCAGGAAAGAAGAGTGGGCACAGTGTTCCAGTGAGTGTTGGCCGAGCACTGAGCAGGGCAGAAGTGGCTTACAAAGGCCACTTGCCTCCCAGGACCCTGCCTCCTGGTACTAACTCCTGGGGGTCTTCTGGCTCAGTCGTCTTCTGTCATCAATAATAATAATAGCCACTAACATTTATTGAACATGTATGTGCCAGGTGCTGGACTGAGTTGGTTCATATGCATTTTCTCTTTTAATACTTAAGGCAATCTCTTGAGATTGGTATTCCCTTTATTGATAAGGAAACAGCGAGATTAAGTACCTTGCCCAAGGTCACCCAGGTAGATCTGGGCTTTGAACATAGGTCTCATTGCCCCCAGACCTCAGGCTTTGCACCAACATGGACTTTTCCTATTTTTGATGTACAGAATATATATTTGGGCTCACGTGATTCTGCTTATTGTATGAATAAATGACCCCAGCTTAGCTTCTGAATAAGCCCTGTAGTATATGAGGTACATCAGTATGACCTCATCAGCACCATTAATGGTTATTATACACCTAACCTGAGTCAACAACCCTTCACAGTCATATTATTATCCCCCTTTTAATCACTCAGTTTCAACAAACTGAGGTTCAAATTGGTAGAATAATGTATCCAAGGCCACACAGCTCGGAAAGTGGCAGAGCTTGCCTGGCTGCAAGGCAACTTCTGTCCCTCAAAAATATTAATTGTTGCAATAGTGTTCTTCCCGAGACTGACCATTTAAGGACCATCTTCTATACATGTCTAGCTGCAGGTTATCACTGAGTCAAAAGCAATCCCTACTATAAATAGAGCTCTCCATCCACTTAGTCAGTGTCCGATCCAGAGTAAATCCTTCAAGAAAGGAATGAGAGAGGAGAAACTGTCCAGAAAGTGAGAGACAGGAAGCCAGGTCTTGGCTGGTCTTGGGACAAATCTTCAAGCAGTAATGACGGGACTAATTCAGAGAGTAATGTGGGATTTCCCTAGGGAACAGCAAGTAATTTGAGGAGGAAGCCCCCTAAAAAAAGGAGAAAGATTAGATGGAAATGGGGGAGAAATTGGGGCCCAGGGTGGTAGTGTCCATGTATAAGGTGAGTGGATGAGGTGAGTGATCAGAAGAGGAACCCAGGATGGGCAGAGATGGGGTCAGTAGGAAACAGGAACAGAATGAGTTAGGGCTGGGTGTCTTGTGGAGTGAACTGAGGCTGATGTCTACCCAGCACCACTCCCTGGATCCTGAGGCCCTCATAGGGACCTTTGCCCCACCACACCCCAGCCCTGATAGCCTGTCTCTGCCAGGACAACTTTGTCTTCTGCTCTGAGCTACCAGGCCCTACCAGGAGCTCCAGGGCCAGCTGGGACCCATCCCTTTGGAGCAGCTGCTTCAGACTAGGTAAGTGTGAGGCCCTGAGCCTCAACTCCCTGGATATTGGAAGCAGGCAGAGGGGCAGCTGAAAGAGATGTTGCTGTATGTCCTGTCTCCTGATAGGTGCCATAATGAATTTTTCCCAGGCTAGGAAGCACTGAGCTCTAGTGGTCAAGGGAGCCATGGAGGAGAGAGCTGGTCAGCGAGAGCAAGACAGACCCAGCCTTCGTCTGGAAAAGCTACAGCACTGGGCCAGGCACAGGCAGAGTGGGCACCTCTTGGTGCTGGCGGTGAGGCCAGGCTGCCCCACCCCAACTTGTACCCCAGTTCAATTCCACCCATGTTTAGTGAGCACCTAGCATCTGTCTGAAACTGTGCTAGGCTCTGAGTGGGAGGAGGGTGGAGGAAACAGAATAAACAATGCAAGACCCTTAATCTCCAAGTAGCTTCCATCATGTGGGGAAAACACATAGTTAAGTAACTGAACTATGACATGAGGCAGAAAAAATTAAATGATATTCCCTTCTTTTATGGCTCTTGGTTGACTACTCTCCACCACTTGGGAGGAAGGAAGGGAATCCCTAACAGTTCTCCTTCAACTACCCTGCACCCGGCCTCCAGGTGAGCCAGCTATGGCTGGCAGTGGCTGTGGTGCCCTTTGCTATCTCAGTTGCCTGCCTGAACTCTGCTTGTCACATGGCCACAGCACTGCCACTTGGGCCTGGCGTACTGGTAAGAACTACCATACGGGAGGGTGGAAAGAAGGTCCTGGAGGCCCCTCCCTAATGGGCCAGAGCTCACCACTTGCCTTTCTCATCATTCAGGGTCTCCTCACTGGGATTGTAACCCTTGAGCTGCGCAGAGCACCCCGTCTCTGGAAGGTGAGAGGGGAAGAGAATGCAGTACTATTCTCCCACCCCCTAAAACACACACACACCTCAGCCCAGGAAGTGGATTTCTAACTGTTAACTGTGTTAGTTATCTGCCCGTGACTGGTCTAAAAGACTGAGGAGGGAAACAAGAAAGTTAGAGGGCTGATGGTCCCGTTTGGAGGTGGAAGAATAGGAGCTGTTTTTTTTTTTTTTTTTTTTGGGTTACGCGGGCCTCTCACTGTTGTGGCCTCTCCCGTTGCGGAGCACAGGCTCCGGACCACAAACCCGTGTCCCCTGCATCGGCAGGCGGACTCTCAACGACTGCGCCACCAGGGAAGCCCAGGAGCTGAGTTTTGTTTTCAGCTAGGCTACAGGTGGGGCTTGGGGTTGCAGTGAGTCCCCTAGGCTGGGCAGGGCTGAATTAACTCACTGGCAGGTGCACGCCATGATGCTATTCAACACCTTCAATCTGATCTTGGGCTTCATCGCGTTGGCGGTCGAAGTGGTGAAGACAGCCTTGATGTCTGCCCCAACTGTCCCCTCCCAGGTACAAGTGAATAAAGGAGAATGTGGGGGGATGAGGAAGCCAGAGGAGGGGAAAGGGCAGGGGCAAATAGGTGCAGGGTCCCCTGCAGCACACCCTCAGCCCTATCTACCTACAGCTAGCCGGCTTGCTGGTGCTGGAGCTCAGTGCTGAGGCCTTCACCCTAGGCGGAGTGCTGGTCTCAGCATACTCCCTGTTCCTGCTGAGCCAGAGGAAGCCAGGATGCTGCTGGAGCCAGAATCTGCACTACCAGGAGCTGCAGGAGGTACTGAGGGCAGGGAGGAAGCAGCTAGCTAGCAGTTCATTTTTTCACTGGCTATCCTGGTCGATGGTACTTAAGGGAAAACAATGGGGCAGCCCGGAGAGGAAGGGGTCCTAAACTGAAACTGGTTGGTTTTCTGGCTTTGGACATTTCTCCCCTAGTGGTGGGTAAGAGTGAATTGGGTATCTAAATGGGGCTAAAAATGTGGGAGAGCATTAGAAATCTGCGTAAATATTGGAAGGGCTATGGGAACACGAGAAAAAAAAAATGCGAGAGGAGGAAGCTGCATCTGTCTGGGATTCCTCATTTCTCACCCTTATAGTTTGCTTGCTTCACACCTGTCTGGTTTTCAGGGTCTCTCAGAATTAGAGGAAGTTCCTGATTTGGAGACTGGTCCCACGGTGGCTAGCAGAGCAAACAGAACAAATGAGTGAGCTGGCAAGAGGAAGCAGACAGGTGTTGCTTTCCTACCCGGCGGGGGCATTCTCCAGACCCTCGTGCACCCCATCCCACCGAACTCAAACTAGATGGAGTCCCCTGAGACCTACTTGAAGTCTTGTGGAGTGCCTTCAATCTTCACTCACACTAGGCCCCTTTCTTTTTCCTCCCCTGCTGCGGAAAGCAATACCTAGACCGAGTTTTAAACCACCTCACCGCCCTGAAAATCTGCCCGCCTGCAGGATATCCTTAAACCAACTTTCAGCTAGACCCATTTTCTCCCTTCTATCCTCACCCTCCTTCCCCACTGCCTCCCCATCCTGCTTCACATATGCCTCATCTCACTGTTTCCAAGATTTCCACCTTTCACAATCCCATCCACTAAAAACCCGTACACGCCCACTCTCTGAAATCAATTCACAACGGGTGCTTTCGTTCTCTCGCTTCGATCCGGTTCCTTTCTACTCTAGCGGAGACTACAAATCCCAGGATGCCCAGCTACCCTGTGGCCCGCTGGGAAATAAAGAACCTTCCCTTCGCGGTAGGGGCGCTGTGCATCGGCTAAGTGACGCGAAACCCTGGAAGTCGGGGCTTAGCTGAGAGTTTCTTCGGACGCGACCACTGGCCCAGCGTGCAGGGAGGAGCCGGACGGGCTATGCTACGCGGGGGCGCAACCACCCCAACCTCGGTAACGGAGAGCTGATTGTGGGTCTACATTCCTACATCCGGCAGCTTCGGAGACGGGCAGGGGCTGAGGGCTGGCCGTCGGCAGAGCTAGGGTTTCCCAGATGCTGTCGCCGTGCCCCCTCCCACAGTGCCCAGGTGCAAAGTCCTGAGACTTGGAGCGCGCGCGAGAAAGGGGTTGGAGATGATGAGTCAGAAGCCCAGAGCACTTCTCATCCCCCTCCCCCGGGGCCTACGCGCCTGAGGAGGACGGACTGGCTGGGCAGACGGGTGGACTGGGCAGGAAGAGGGAGGGACACGGCGACCCGACCTAAGGTTTCCCGCCTCTTGCGAGCACGCCGGTGTAAGGAGCCCGCGTTGCCGCCACCCTTTCTCTCCAAGGTGGGAGCGGGACTGCGCAGGCTCAGCCTCTCGGCAGCCCAGCCGACCTTTGATCCCAGCTGCGGGGCGGTTGCTGAAGTTCTGGTTTTGCTCAAACCCCACCGTTTATGATCTTTGCAAGTGTGCAAGGATGGCAGGCTCAGGTGGGCTTGAGAAAAGCCCAGGAAAACGGGGGCACCCTGTAGCACCAGCCCGACAGCTTACTAGCGGCTAGAAAAACTAGAAGTTGACCAGAGCTGCAGTACTAAGAGAACTCACCCCAAATTCACATAGTGCCCAGGATGGGTGTGCGCCTCACACTCATTTTTGTTCCCACTTGAGAAGGCTTCTTTCCCTAGAGAATGCTGCTTCTCCGGGCTTAGCCAAGCCCAGGCACCAGTGAGGAAAGAGCGCAGCCTGGCTGCGTTGCCCTGACATTGCAGTGGCGCCAGCGGCAGCTCCTTTCTGTTTGCGACACCTTGGGTAATAGTCGCCCTATGACAAGATTGTGTGACCATTAGTGGGTGGGGACAGTTCTGGGATTAGGCTCTGGAATGGTGAAAACAAGATCTGGGCCTCCCCCTTCTCCTCCTCCCAGTCTAAATGCCAGAATAATGGCGAGCTCATCTGTGAAGGACTCAAAATGCTTTCTTCAAAATCAGAAGGTGGTGGTAGCTGAGGAAGCTGGGGGTAAAAATCAATTCATTCTCACTGTCTTCCACTTAGGAGCAACAGCTTTTAGTGATATGATCAGATGTCTAGAAATTGCATTTTAGTTCTTGGAGAAGTTCAGTCACCATGCAGATGAACCTTGTATCAGGTTAGGCTAGGTTATGCTGTGGTAAAAATGCCAAAATCTCAGTGGCCTAAAACTGCAAACGTAGCTCTCACACTACATGTCTAGGGTAGTCTGGCAGTCTGCTCTGCTCCTTGTAGGTGATTCAGGTAACCAAGCCCATGGAGTGCCACCATTTTGAGATCCTATCATGTAACCATGAGACTAATACCCCCTATCCCCACCCCCTTCCCCAGTTGTGAAGTAAGCATGAAGAATTGTTCATGGGCTCTTAAATGCTTCTGCCTCAAAGGGATACATATCACTTCCACACACACTTCATGGGCCAAAGCAAGTCATGTAGTCGCACGCAATTTCAGGATGGTTAGAAGGGCAATCTCTTCATATGCCTGGGAGGGGAGTAGAAATACTTCATTAAAAGAAGGGGAGGTAGTAATTTGCAATGATTCTTGAACAGCTTAGCAGTTGAAATTCATCCATTCCAGCAGTTATGCCCATATCTACTTCTTTGGTTTTGTTCCATGAACCACTAAAATGAAGTTCTTTTTTTTTTTAATTAATTAATTTATTTTTGTTTGCGTTAGGTCTTTGTTGCTACGTGGGGGGTTTTTTCTAGCTGGGGTGAGCGAGGGCTACTCTTTGTTGTGGTGCACGGGCTTCTCATTGCAGTGGCTTCTCTTGTTGCAGAGCACGGGCTCTAGGCGCACGGGCTTCAGTAGTTGTGGCACGTGGGCTCTAGAGTGCAGGCTCAGTAGTTGAGGCACACGGGCTTAGTTGCTCTGCAGCATGTGGGATCTTCCCGGACCAGGGCTCGAACCCGTTTCCCCTGCATTGGCAGGCGGATTTTTAACCACTGCGCTACCAGGGAAGCCCCTAAAATGAAGTTCTAAATAGAAATTTTCCTCCCAGAATAATAATGGGAGTCAGGAAATCTAGACTCTGTTTTGATGTGTAAATTTGGGCAAGTCAGACCTCTCTGAACTACATTTTGCTTAAATGGAGATTATAATATTTACTCTCTCTACCTTACTGGAGTACCAAGGCTCAAATAAAATCACACATGAAAAAATACTTTAAAACTATAAAGCACTTCAGAGGTTGAAAGTAAATTGCCTATAGGGACAAGAAGTGGTGTAAATGAGTGAAGCAGATTAGGTATGAGTTAATAGGGCGTGGTGGGAACTATGGCAAACTAGAGAGCCCACATTCTGTTTAAAGACTAACTGCACTCATCTCTACCCTATTGCCATGTGGGACTGTGGGCTTGGTATTGCCATTGTTCCAATTTTCCTATAAAAGTCAGAAATTCTGACTTTTTAAATGTGAAATCTTCTGATTTTAAAATGTTGATAACTGATTTTTTAAAAATTGAGGACCAGATTTGGCCTATAGTCCTTCAGTTATTGTCTCTCCATTATACAAACATAGGTAGAAATTCAGGTTTTAGATATGCAGTATGGTTCTTGTAGGCCCTTGAGGCCTGTTCTGAAATTCAAGAGTCTTGGAGAGACTTAACATTAGGTTCTTAAAACCTTTTTTTTATCATATCCCTCTCATATTGGTTCTCAGGGAGGGGGCATTTTGCCCCCAGGGGTTATTTGGTAGTTTTTGGTAGTGACAGCTTTGGGGGGGAGGAGGAATATATAACCAAAGGAGCATTAGGTGATAAGTTGGAAGATCAGAGATTTAGCCCCAGTACTACTGATCCCCCTTTCCTGTGCATTATCCTCTGCCAACTGCAAGTGAAGACTGTGTGAGACTTGGCCTGTGGGCCTCATTATGCCCACCCCCCATCCCACCCAACACTGCCTATTGCCAGAGTCCCTAGCTGCTCCGTGAAAGCATTCTGCTTTGCTGCAATGCTGCCCAGCAACCTCTGTATCTACCCCTTCATCAGTTTGGCAGCCTCTGTGAAAGTCACTGGTATTTTACTTGAATTGCTGCCCATTGGAACTTCACAAAAAGAAGTGACTGTGACAAGGTTCCTGCTGACGTCAGTTTTTAAAGGCCTTGACCCCTATCCGTGCTTTAAGCATTGGAGAAATATGTGGCTTCATATGCAGCTGAATTCTGTGGTGGTTGGGAAATTCTCCATGTTGATGAATTTTACCCTCATTTCTTTGAAATTCAGTAATGCATTCTGGCCTCGAATACATGATTATAGACAAGTGACCTTTCCGCAATGAAATATCTGCTTTTGCAGATGGTTCAGGTTTTGTGTCCTGGGCTGCGTCCTCTGCTGCCATCTCGTGGCCTCTTTGCTGCCCCGGTCGAGGTCTCACAAAGGGCCTTCCCGCAAGGTAATGGCGTGTGTCATCGGCTTAGTTGGAGGAGCCTCTGCTCATTGCGGGGCGTGCTCCCAAATCCCTCCCCTGCTGTGAATCCACCTGGGCAGCCACACATGCCGCTTGGTGCGTCTCGAGTAGGCTGGAGGCGCAGGGCCCTTCCGGGTCATTCTCAGCCCCTTGGGCCTCTATGTGTTATGCAATCCTGGACTCCAGCCACGAAATCAGTAAACTCAACTACCCAGGAGTAATCGGAGCTGACCTCGCCTGCTTGGCCTGATGAATGCCCCGCAGCCTCTCGCCACTCGCCATCCCGGGCTGGGATATTCTTTATCTTAGTGAAAAGAGATGATTACCCCGTCAGGTTTCTGGATTTCGTTTTCTTGTCTAGGCCCATTTTGGGTTGCTTTGTGTACATGCGCTTCATTCTTGACTTGCCCAGCGGTGCTGCCTCAATTTCGATGTTTGATTGCTGGATTGAGCAGGACGGTGGCAATGTGTCACTGTTAGGCAGCGTCTCCTATAAATATGACAGGATCTGAGCACTGTAGTGATCAGAGGTCCATCTCCAGGGCACAGGGAATCTAGGAGACTGCCCTAGTAGCTGGGTTACTGGTGACTGAGCAGTGAGTGACTCATGCAGGAGGAAAGGCAGGAAAATTTTATTTGGTGCTAATTTTTTTTCATTATAATAATGTGTTTAAAACCTTCCAATTGTTAAAGTAAACGTGTAGAACTGTCCCTTAGTTGTTAACCCCACCTGTATGCTTTACACATGTTTGGCTTCTTCTGGAGAGCCCTGACTCTACCAGGCCCCCCTTATCCCTAACCCCAGAATTGGAGGAGGAAGGGGAAGAGGAAGAGGAAGGAAGAGAGGAGGAGGAGGGGGAGGAGAAACCGCTGCCTTTAGTGTTTGTTTTAATCTGCTTTTCCCTGTATAAAAATTCGGGGTGGGGGGGGCGGGGCTTCCCTGGTGGCGCAGCGGTTGAGAGTCCGCCTGCCGATGCAGGAGACACGGGTTCGTGCCCCGCTCCGGGAAGATCCCACATGCCGCAGAGCGGCTGGGCCCGTGAGCCATGGCCGCTGAGCCTGCGCGTCCGGAGCCTGTGCTCCGCAACGGGAGAGGCCACAACAGTGAGAGGCCCGTGTACCGCAAAAAAAAAAAAAAAAAAAATTCAGGGGGAAGGGCCTCCTTGTATGGCCTCCGCCATTTCTTAGGCTACTAAAACTGGTGTGCATAGCCGCTCTTTAAAATTCAGATGCCACTTACTTAATGAGAGTTGTCTTCTGTTTCTCTTGTTTTTCCTTCTTTGCATACATTTTTTCAGCCATATTTATATTTTGTGTTGCATGTTATTCTTGATTCTACTTATCATCTGAATCTCTGGTTTATTTTTCTTATCAGAAACTTTTCCTGTGTTCTGTCCAGAGGGAATGAGTCGTCTTTGTTGATTCTTGTTTGTTTTTCCTTGCCTTTATAAAGTTTTCTTGTTTATAATATTTTTCCACAAGTCCAAGCTCCCCAGATATGATTTAATTTGTTTTGCTTCTTAATAATTATGTGCTCACTTTATACTGAAGATGCTCGCTTTATAAGGAAAATGCTTTGCACCCACTCTTATGCTTTAGGTAAAGTGAGAGGACTCAAAGTCATGGCATAAGAGAAACAGGATTGATGTCTTTGTAAATCTCAAAAATAATTATGAGGAAGAGAAGCTGTTCTTTGTGAACCTAAGAAGTGAAGCTGGATCCAATGGTTATGTATTATAGAGAGGCCAGTTTTAGACCAAAAAAGAGAAACTGAACACCTTTCAAAAGATGAGCTGCTTTGAAGTTAGGCTGTCAACCTCTGGGTCTGTTTGAGGTGTTTTGTGCAATGCGCTTCTGCACAGATAGGTTGTTGAAGCAAGTTTTCAAATATCACTTGAATGGTTGGAATAGATAACCTTTAATTTCTCCTCCAACACTAAGATTTGGTTTCTCAGCAGTGGTGGTGTTTTTTTAGTAGACCCATCCATACTCTCTAATCTGAATGACCGGTGCTGGGCGAAAGTGTAAAGTATTCCTCTAGTCCCTAGAACAGAGTTTATCAACTGTGGCACTACTGACATTTGGGTCAGATAATTCTTTGTTGTGGAAGGCTGTCCCTTGCATTGTAGGATGTTTAGCAGCATCCCTGGCTTCTAACCACTAAATAAATACCAGTAGCACTCCTCCCCTTAAATGTGACAACTAAAAATCTCTCCAGACATTGCCAAATATCCCGTGGGGAGCAAAAGTGCCCCCCCATAGGGCATGAAAACCAATGCCCTAGAGAGATATGATCAGAAAGATTTCAAGAACTTAGTGTTTAACTTCTCCAAGATTCTTATATTTAAAAAGAACATACAAAGACCTGCAAGAACCATGTTGCACACTCAAAACCTTAAATCTTCTCTTTGTGCCCCCATTCTCCCTTCTGGATTTTCCGTCATTTTTTTTTTAAATAAATTTATTTATTTTTTGTTTATTTATTTTTGGCTGCATTGGGTCTACATTGCTGCACACAGGCTTTCTCTAGTTGCGGCGAGCGGGGGCTACTCTTCGTTGTGGTGTGCAGGCTCCTCATTGTGGTGGCTTCTCTTGTTGCAGAGCATGGGCTCTAGGCACGCGGGCTCGGTAGTTGTGGTGCACGGGCTTAGTTACCCCGCGGCATGTGGGATCTTCCCAGGCCAGGGATCGAACCCGTGTCCCCTGCATTGGCAGGCGGATGCTTAACTGCTGCACTACCAGGGAAGCCCCTGAATTTTCCATCTTAACTGGTGTTATCACTTGGTCATATAAGCTGAATGCTAAACTCTTCTTCATTTCCTGTAGCCAAATGCTCACCACACTCTATAGATTTTCTTCCTGCTCTTGAATCAGTCTTCTCCTCATCACCACCATCCTTGCCCTAGTTCAGGCCCCCACCACTTGTCACCTACTACAGAAAAAGCTTCCTAAATAGTTTCTGTGCTTCCAGGATCATCCTCCTGGAGGATCTTACACATAGCCACATAAACATGACCACATAGCTTCCCTGCTTAAAAGCTCTTCAGTCATCTCCGTCCTAGAAGATCAGCTCCAAGCTTTTTTAAATGGTGCAATGATCCCTGTGATCTGGCCCCCGCCTTTGCAGTGTCATCTCCACATGCCCTCCCTTGCACTATACTCTTCAGTGACAGCAATCTGAGGAAGGTGGCATTGGTGTGCAGCCTTAAAATCTTGTTTTAATTATTAGTTAATATGTATGAGAAACACTTCCACCCCATCTTTGAGCTTTACCCTCTCCCTCTTTTTTTTTTTCTTTCTGATTAGCCCAAGGATGATGATGATGACAGCAATGACTCAGTGATGGGCGGGGTGGGGGTCAGGGCTGTTTGTTGCTCACATTAATAAGAAGTCAGAACAATTAAAATACCAGTGATAAGTCAAAGCCATGTCATGTCAAAATAGCTACGTCAAAACATCTCACTTTGGCACATATGTTTCTTTCTTTCTTTTTTTTTTTTTGGACCTTTAGTAATTTTTATTATTGCAATTACAAATAATGCTGCATTGAACATTCCTATACATGCATCTTTTCATACATTCATAGTATTATCAGCAGGTTCAATTCCTAGAAGTAGAATTCTTGGGTCAATGGCACATATGTTTCTTACTTCTATGCCTTATTCAAGCTGTTGTAACTAGTCCTAACCCCATATTGCTAACTGGTACTGTTTCTTTAAGACTCAGCTTAGTCTTCACCTACTTTGGGAAGCTTCCCTGACCTCTCCCATCACCACCAAGACTGTACTCTTACAGTGCTCTACACACAGTTCTATACGTATTGTGAAGAGGATCAGAATGCACCACCCCAAAATGTGCCACATTGGCATGGGGATTGTTTTTATTGGAAGACAAATAAGAAGCAGTAAACTCAGAAAATGCTCTCTGCCTTCCCCCTATCTGAGTAAAAATGGGATGTAAATTTCCCTTTGTGAAGGTCTTCCCCGCCCTCTCTCATAGCAGGAGGAAGAAAAACAACTATTACACTGCAGACAGAGAGTCAGCACCATGAATGGGTCTATACAAACAAACCTTACTAAAATCACACTTACCTTCCATCACTTTCCCCTATATACTTACTTTCCTGCAATCTATGACCCCTAGGAGCCCAAAATGCTATTCCTTTGTCTTGTCACTTCTCCTCAATTTCTCACCCTTTGTTAAAATGGTATATAGGACTTTGCTGGTAGCACAGTGGCTAACACTCCGCCTGCCAATGCAGGGGACACGGGTTTGAGCCCTGGTCCCGGAAGATACCGCATGCTGCAGAGCAACTAAGCCCGTGAGCCACAACTACTGAGCCTGCGTGCCACAAGTACTGAAGCTTGAGCACCTAGAGCCCATGCTCTTCAACAAGAGAAGCCACTGCAATGAGAAGCCCGCACACTGCAATGAAGAGTAGCCCATGCGCAGCAATGAAGACCCAATGCAAAAAAAAAAAAGTTATATAATACCCTGTGTCTAATCACCCCCGAGACTTCATTTCTTTTCTGTGAAGATCCTCTGTATACATAAAAATTGAAATATTAACATCAAGTGAAATGTGTATGCCTTTTCTCCTGTTAATTTGCCTTTTGTCAATTTAATTTGCAAGCACCAGCTACTAAACCAAAGAGGGTAGAGAAAAGTTTTTCCTTCCCCTACAATTGAAATTATCATTTATGTGCCCACCTTTGAAGAGAGAACCGTGTTTTATTCATCTTTATAACCCCAGAACATAGCTAAGTGAATGGCATAAGGAGACATTCAATACATGTTTACTGAATGAATGAATAAATTAAATCAGAAGGAGTCTTAGAAGGCATTCTACTCAACACAGAAACTCCTGTGCAACATTCTGATAGTCATTCAGTCTCTGCTAAAACATTAACAGTAATGGTGCTACTAGAGAAAATTACTCAAACATGGCAGCTGGTGCCACAAAAAATTCATGATCTCAAACTGCAACTAGATCCTAAAGGGAACCCCATAATACTACTATTGGCAGTTCTAAATTTCCACAGCTTCTACTTTAAGTTTTTTGTATTGTTTTATTTTCAGTAGTTATTCTAAAGTGCATCTGGAAGAATAAACAAATGATAATGAAAGAAAAGGAAGGAAGGAAGGAAGGGAGAAAGAAGGAAGAACGGGCTTCTAACAAGAAGAGTAATAAGGTGAGACTTGGTCTATCAGTTATTAATGTGTATTATAAAGATGAAAAATTAAAACATTATGGTATTGACATCAGAATAGACAGATAGATGAATGGAATAGAATAGAGTCAAAAAAAGAGCTCAAGTATATACAAAGATTTAATATATTTTAGTAGCACTATTTCTTATCTGTCAGTTAATCATAAACTAATTTTTTTCAATAAGTGATGTTGGAATAACTGCATAACTATTTGCACTAAGTTACACTTCTATCATACTCCATGCACCAAAATAAATTCTAGACTTAAATGGAAAAAATCAAAACCATAAAAATATGAGAAGAAATATAGGTAATTATATAACCTGGGGCAGATGAGAACTTTTAGATATAACACTAATAGCAGAAACTAAAAAGAAAAAGATTGATTTTACATTAAAAATTTTAGGCTTTCTATAAAAAAAATTACAATAAAGATAAAGTTCAAATGTAGATTTAAGAAAGGATGACTGAGAGTAACATATAGCTAAAAGATTGTTAGTATTAATATTGAATCTTTTCTTATAGAAAAACTGATAAAGACAAAACAGCCAGTTTACCAAATAAAGAAATTTAAATGGCCAATAAATCTATGAAAGATGATTTATATTAATAGTAGTTAAATAAATACAATTTATTTATATTTTTGGCTGCACCTTGCAGCATGAGGGATCTTAGTTCCCCAACCAGAGATTGAACCTGTGCCCCCTGCAGTGGAAACGTGGAAACTTAACTACTGGACCACCAGAGAAGTACCTAAATAAATGCAATTTAAAACAGTAAGATGCCATTTTGTGCCAATCACATTGTTATTTTTAAATGCATAAAACCCATCACTGGTGAGTGTGCAAGGAAATAGGCACTTTCTTATACCTCTGATAGGACGGTAAATTGGTACAACTGTAATGGAAAGCAATTTAACATCTTGTATATACAGGTTAAAAATTACCTACCCTTGGCCCAGCAATTCTGCATCTAGGAATTTTCTGCAGGAATACTTTTGGACATGTATAAGGAGTTACCTATTGAAATGTTCAGTACAGCATTAATTTTTCAAGTACAAGCAGTTCTAAATGTCTAACAATAAGGTAGTTGATCTTTAAAGTATAATAAATGTAGAGATTGAAATATTATACTATACTATACTGGCATAAAAAGACTAAAAGATGTCCATGGTATATTCCTAAGTGGAAAAAAAAAGAAAAAAAGCACATTGCATCCAGTTAAAAAATGGCAAAAGTCTTGAATAAACATTTCTCCAAAAAATTTGCAAATGACCAAAAAACACATGAAAACGATGTGGCACATCATTAGTCATTAGGGAAATACAATTCAAAACCACAACAAGACACTACTTTACCACTTCACAGCTACTAGGAGAGCTATAAAAACAACAGCAACAAATGGAAAATGACAAGTGTTGGCAAGGATGTGGAGAAATGGAACTCTCATGTATTGCTGGTAGGAGCGTAAATGCTGCTGTGGAAAATAGCTTGGTGATTCCTCAATAGGTGAAACATAGAATCGTCATATGAGCCAGCAATTCCGCTCCTAGGTATATACTAAATAGGTGTTCAAACAAAACGTTACACATAAATGTTCATAGCAAAAAGATGGAAACAACTCAAATGTTCATCACCTGATAAATGGATAAACAAAATGTGGTATATATCCATATAATGAAACACTTCTTATTCCACTATGTACAACATGGATGAACCTAGCAACTATGCTAAGTGAAAAAAGCCAGACACAAAAGGTCACATATTGTGTGATTCCATTTATCTGAACTATCCAGAATAGGCAATCCATAGAAACAAAAAGCATTTTAGTGGTTGCCAGGGGCATGACTACTTAATGGCTATGAGGTTTCCTTTTGTGATGCTAAAAGTGTTCTGGAACTAGATATTGGTAATGATTGCACAGCACTGTAAATGTACTAAATGCCACCAAATTGTATATTTCAAAATAGTTAAAATGGTGAAATTTATATTATGTGAATTTTACCACAATACAAGAAGTGCATTACAAAACAGCAGGTATAGTTGGTTTTGTTTTTCTAGAAGTATATGCATAGGAAAAAAAGTGTAGAAGGGTAAATATCAAACTACTCTGGTCATCCATGGTTGTCATTTAGGACTAATGTTCTAACTTTTCTACAATAATCCTCAATTACCTGACTACTTTTTAAAACATGCTATAGAATAATATTTAATGAAAGAGAGGAGCGTTCATCATGTAATGCCCTCCAAGTCCATTCATGTTGCTGCAAATGCAAAATTTCATTCTTTTTTTAAGGCTGAGTAGTATTCCACTGAACATTTATACCATTTCTTCTTTTTTTTTTTTTTTTTTTTTTAAACATCTTTATTGGGGTATAATTGCTTTACAATTGTGTGTTAGTTTCTGCTTTATAACAAAGTGAATCAGTTATACATATACATATGTTCCCATATGTCTCCATTTCTTCTTATTTGTTCATCTGTTGATAGACACTTAGGTTGCTTCCACCTCTTGGCAACTGTGAATAATGCTGCACTGGGGTGCATCCAAACCAGTATATTTGAACAAAACCAATTTTATTGTAAAAACAGACATATTGCATAGAACAAAAACCTACTGGAAGTATATATGCCAACATATTAATGGTTATATTTCAGGGGGTGATTATAGGTGAATTTTATTTACTTTTAAAAAATACATTTTCAAAATTCTTCCAGTGAATATGTATATATATATATTACCTCCACAATCTGGGTTTTAAATATTATTTTAAAGTTTTCCTGGAGGATACATGAGCATCATGGTAGTGTGAGAAGCTCCCTTTGTCTCACCCCTTCAATTTACAACTAGTAAAACATCCCTAACTCAAGAAAATTTCCCTACCCAACACAGCAGAATGCTAGAGAGATCCACACATCTGCATGTGAAGGTGGGTGCATTGGAACACATAGAGGAGGCATAAGTGGGGGGAACAGCGGAGGCAGTGCCCATGATCCCAGCTCCCCAGCCACAGCAGCTGAACCCAGAGCCCCAGAGAACCCTGTGGCAGGAGGAGGGGCAGCAGACACAGCTTCAGCCTCCTGGCTGCACCAGTGCCTATGGGTGCAGGAAACTGGGCAGCAGCACAGGTGAGGCCAAGACTCAGTCCTTCCAACCGTGGTGACGCCCACAACTCTCCCCCCCTCCCCCACCCTCGCCCACTGCAGCGGCGCCTGCAAACCAAGCAACCCCAGACATGGCGGAGGTGCCCATGACCCTGGATCCCCCACCAATCCTCTCCCCTCACTGTGGTGGCAATGCCTGCAACCCAGTCAACCCTGGACAAGGCAAAGGTACCCGCCATCCCAGTGCCCCTGGTGGCGACGCCAGCAACGCCAGAGGCACAAGCATCTGTGACAAGGGCACCAGTGACACCTCTGGCAGAGGCAGGGGAAGATGGAAAGTGCCGATTCTCAAATATAGAACAACTCAGGTAAGAGAAACCAAAAACTTGTGCTATAGCGCCACCTACTGAAAAACATAAGAAAGGCCTTCTAGTGACCAATCTGTTAAATTGTTAAAATCAAAGTAAACAAAACTACCTAAAGAAGAAAGGTTTTCGCTACTTCAGATACGCTGGCAGAGGACCAATTCATCAAGCACCATAAAAGAAAACATGCTAACACAGTATCAAAAAAAAGAAAAAAAAGAAAATGACAAATCAAACTTAAAGTCACAGAAGATTTTAATCTATTAGAGAATTCAAAAATAGCTGTCATGAAGAAATTCAGCAAGAAAACACAAAAAGGCAGCTCAATGAGCTCAGGAATAAAATCAATGAACAGGGGCTTCCCTGGTGGTCCAGTGGTTAAGACTCCACCTTCCAATGCAGGGTACATGGGTTCAATCCCTGGTCACAGAACTAAGATCCCACATGCCAGGTGGTGTGGCCAAAAAAAAAATAAATAAAATAAAATATAATCAATGAACAGAAGGAATATTTTAGCAAAGAGATTGAAACTCTAAAAAAGAACTAAGTAGGAAATCTGGAGCTGAAGAACTCAATAAATGAGATGAAGAATGCATTAGAAAGCACTAGAAATAGAGAAGACCATATGGAAGAGAAAATTCACAAGCTCAAAGACAGAAATCTAGAAATGATTCATGTAGAAGGGGAGATAGAACTAAGTTTTGTGTTTTCTTTTGTTTTTTAATGAAGAAATTCTATGAGAACTATCTAACTACCTTAGGAAAAGCAATATAAGGATAATGGGTACCCCAGAAGGAGAAGGGGGGAAGAAGGGAGCAAAAAACTTATTTAAAGAAATAATAGCTGAGAATTTTCCAAATCTGGGGAAGGAACTGGATATGTACGTTCATGAAGCTAATACTACACCTAATTATATCAATGAAAAAAGACCTTTTCCAAAACACATTATATTAAAACTGTCAAAAGTCAGTGACAAAGAAAGAATTTTAAAGTCATTGAGGGGAAAAAAGACAGTAACCGATAGGCTATCAGCATATTTCTCAACAAAAACTCTACAGGCCAGAAGAGAGCAAAATGACATACTCAAGATACAGAAAGATAAAAACTGTCAGCCAAAAATACGCTAACCAGAAAAGTTATCATTCAGATATGAAGGAGAAATGAAGTCTTTCCCAGACAAACAAAACAAAAGTTGAGGGACTTCATTACCACTAAACCTATTTACAAGAAATGTTGAAAGGAGCTCTTATACCTGAAACAAGAAGGCAAAAGTACGCAAAACTTTGAGTAAGGTGACAAATAGTATAAGAAAATTATAACTCTATATCAGAATAGATTATAGATTGTTAAACAATTATAGCATAAAGGTTAAAGCGGAAAAAGTATTAAAAGTAACTATAGCTACTTCAATTTGGTAATGAACTCACAACGTAAAAAAGGACAATTTGTGACAATAAAAACATGAAAGGGAAGAGGAATAGGACAAAATCTGTATAGGCAAATGAAAACAAG